AGGAGAGGAGAGGAGAGGAGAGGAGAGGAGAGGAGAGGAGAGGAGAGGAGAGGAGAGGAGAACTCCCATGGATTTGCCTTTGTCATTTCATTTCAAAAAACTCCCCACTGCCACCGAGTTACTTAATTATTCTGACAACCCATTTAGTCACTTGCTCAAAACCTGTTTTGAAGTGGGCCTAAACAGGACTTAAAAACATGCTGAAGTCTTTATTGATTCCGTTTGATTTTACTTCCTATTAGTTTTGCAACTATCACATTTCTAAGTCACATGAAAAACAATTACTTAAATATGTCCCGAGTGAGATTATATGTTTCAAGCTAATTGAAGTGGTTGTGTCAGGAGGAGATCGAATGCTCCCAAAACACCACTGAATTTTGCCTACTCCATTATTCATTTATTTTTGTCAGTGTGAAGGAAGGGTTGTTCTTTACTTGTGAAGAAGGAGGCTAAAATAATTTATTAGTACAGCTGATCAGGCTTTCCCTGGAAAGTAAAAGGGGAAAAGATAGACCAATTTAAGCTGTGTCATGCAAATAGCCTCTAAATAACCTTTTCCCTACAATATTTGACTCAAACAAGCAGCAGGCAGCATAAGGGGAGTTTTTTTGGTATGGCTGGTGTTGGGTTMGTTCTTCAAAGTGTCTCTTCTAACGTGCCAGATAAAGAGTGAATCATTCCATGATTCATCTGAGACTTTGTTTACAATTTATGAGAGAAAAAAAAAGAAAAACATGGTAAATTGTGGGTGCCCTTTAGGTTAGGTTAGGTCACAAGATAGTCATCTTTGTGTTTCACTCTGAATAGCGCTTTGATCCTCTCGTCTTTTTTCCTCTTTGAAGATGTCCTGACAACAGCTATTTTCTTAAGCGCTAAAATGTTGCCCTTGCAGCAGTTTGAGTAAACCAGGACCCCTGGGAGGTAAAGAACACTGGAGAAGTTAGTGTCACATCCTATACATTATCCTGTTATTCCTACAGCGTATAGTCCTAGGGAAGCTGCTCAGCCACTGTTCTTCCCTGACTCTGGAACAGTTCACTCCTGAAATGCCCTTCTACACGTTGCCTTACAGTGCGTGGCAAGCTGTATGTGGGGCAAAACATTTTCAGCCTCTTCAAAAGAATGTGTTTTTTTTCTGAGGAACTTGTACGGATCTGGCTACCGATGGAGGGCAGGAACGGAAAGGAGGGAAGGAGGAGGATGAGCTAGTTGCAACAGGTCTTTCTGTAGCGTTTAGGATTTTAGCAGTGTTGGATAACTCCCCACTTTTGGCATGTTTCCTTGCGCCAGGCAGCAGCCACTGCAGTTGCAATTATTTTATACTGCAGCCTGGTGAAATGCTCTGGCATTCCGTGCAGGCTACATTCAGCAGCAGTTATAAAATAAATAAAAGAAATAAAATGAAATAAAATAAATAAAATAAATAAAATAAATAAAGATGGATCGCATCAGTGCTTGCACGAGCATGATGAAATAGCAAAGCCCGTGCCTGCAGGTGCCCAGCTCCTGCTCGCTTGCATTCCTCCGTGGCCAGAGAGTCACAGACACACACAGGTGAGAGGAGCTGCTGAAGGGGACACCCCTGTGCAAGCTCAGGATGGGCACCAACTGGCACAGCCTGCAGAACCCTCCTGAAGGAACACATCTGCCCTTCATGGTTGTCTCGAAACTTTGGGAAACTAATCCAAAACGTTCACGGTGGGAAACGTTTATGGCAGGGCAGCTGGCCTCCAGATGCATTTTTGCTATTTGCTTATTTCCTGGCAGGTTTCTTGTGCACATGGGCTGAAAGTGGCCAGGGTGTTTGCTCACCTTTGCCAGGTGTCGAGAGGCTTCACCCATTTCGTGGCCTTAGGCTGTGGTGCTGTAGGCACTAGTGCTGTGCAGAATGGCTATTCCAAGTGATATTCACTTCCCAAGGTACTGAAGGACTTGCCTACACCAGGAGAACCTGTACTGAGGCAACTGYGTTGTCTCCTGGGGACGAGAACTACAGCAACAGGTCCTGCTGCCTGTCCTGCACCACCTCCTGCTCTGGGCAACCTGGGGCAGCACAGAGTCCCTGACTGCATCACAGCAGGATTCCTGCACCCCTGCAAACGTGAGCTCTCCTGCAACACGTAGCCTCGGGAGTTCTCACCCCAGCTTCCCGTTCAGYCCCAGATTGCAGCTGATTTCCCTCTACTGTGCTGGTAGAATCCCGGGATTGTGTGCTGCACCCCACACTGGATTGGATGGTTGCCAACACTGGAGTAGTGAGCTGGGCTCTCCTGTCTCACTTCAGTCCTCCTTTCCCCACAGAACTAAAGCTTTTWATTCCTTCCTCCCCTAAATAGATGGGTTTTTTTCCACCACTTATGTGCTTAGAAAATCTCAAATTTCCCGGTGTTTTATTCCCTCYGTCTTTGCTTGGCTCCTTGCTCCGGCTCACCGCCCGTCCCGCAGTCGTCGGCGCCTTGGCAACAGCAGAGCTTGTTTACCTGGAGGTGGAAAGGAAACGGGTTCATGYGCAGCAGCTGCAGACTTGCAAGAAACGCAGATTCCTCGGAGTACGGCCGGAGAAATGAGTGTGATTAGGCAAACCTCTAAAAGGGGCAGCTGGCAGGAGTGAAAGTGGCCTCTCTATGCACGAGCCTCCACAGCTGCATTCCACTGCTAACGGTGCTGGTGGAAAGTTTGTGGTGGGTGTGTGCACGAGCATTTTTACGGGCCTCTTCTGTAAGCTTTTGTTTTTCTGTCCACAGTTTGTGGGGCTTGAGAAGCAAAGGGAAAATGGGTAAGTCTTGGAGTGTCTGGGAATATCCAGTAGGTGTGATTGTGTCAACCAAAGAGCAGAGCATGTGTGTGTTTGGGGGGGGGGGGGATGTTTTCAAAAGAAAGTTAACACAAAGGAAGGGGTGAATTTACATTGCACTTACTAGCCCTAACGAGCTGCCTGGTCTCTTGTTCTGGTGTACCTTGCTAGCGGAGTAAATTACCTGATATTCACTGTGCCCCAGAGATGGGGGCTATAGCAAAGCCTGAATCCGTACCCCGCTTCCTTCTGCAATAACCTCAGGTGCAGGTGTACTTGGGAAGAAGTGGATTCATCCATCCTTCTAAAGGAGGACATCCTAAAGCAGGTGCCCACCCTCGCTGGGAAAGGCCCTTAGGCTTCCTGGCCTTTCTCCTCCCTCCTGCCCTCAGYAGAAGTGACTTCTAGAAAGCACTTCAGAATTGCCTGACTTTTGCTAAGGATTTCTTCCTCCTCTTAGTAGGTATCTCCTTTTTGTGGCAGGTAGCAGCTCACAGCAGGCACTGCCTCATCCCTGTCACCGTAGAGGAATTTGCCCTGTATTTTACACCCCTCAGTGAGACACATTGTGCAAGTTTCGCCCTCTTGGAGACTGAGGAGGATCACTGCTTGGCACAATKCAGCCTTCACACATGCTCAGGAGAAAATAACAGAAAGGGAGTGGAGAAACAGGACTGAACACACAGGTTKAGTAACGTGAACACTATTGGTAGTAGTCAAAGGAATATTGCATGTTAAATATCCTTTTTGTTATCTCCATGCTAAAGTTTGGGCTCCATGTCTATGTTATAGGTGCCCACATAGGCAACGAGACAAGTGTCAAAACACTGAGGAGGCTGTGAGTGAGAACAGGTTGTGAAACCTCAGTGCTAGCTGTGCAGAGAGCACTGACAGGCAAGTGCACAAGTCTGTAGTAGAACAGACAGTAGAAAAGTGTTAATCTTCCACTTTTAAAAGAAAAAATAATTAAAAATAACCAAGAAAAATCTTACAGAGCTTCAGTTAGTTGAGGAGAGCTACTGTGAGTGGTGTAAAAGGCCTTGGTTTGGAATTGCATTAAAATAAAAGATTCCTGTGCGTGTGGGTATATATGTATGTATGACAGGGTCTGTCAGGTGAGTCAGGGGCTGTCCAGCGATGCACCCTAAAAACATTGTCAGTGTTACATAATTCATTAAGGTCATTCTGGCATTATCTGTCTCTCTCCCTGCAGACTATGGATTCTGAATCAAAGTGCAGGTTCATAGGAAGCTCTCTTCAGCCGTCGGATAAAATGCATCCTGCAACCTTTGCTTCTAAAGAACCCGAGGAGGTGGCAGCTGTTGCTGGTGACGGGCTATCACCTCTCCCCAGCAACCAAGGTACAGCCAAATTATATCCATAAAGTGGTCTTTTTAATTGTTCCACGTGAAATCTCTGGAGCAAACTSCCCATTCTGTTTTACTCTGTTCAGTGACCTGCTGTGATTGTCAGGCTGACATTGGGACAGGATGTATATGTGTCCTGAGGGAGTAGTCCCTGAAGTCATACGTCTGGAATGGAAATTGCCGCAGGGCTTCGAACATCCTTGTAAACTTTGGCTTTGAAAATTGTTTAACTTTAAAATTGTCAGACTTCCTCTGAAGGCCAAGGAGAATGTTTCAAACTCAGCAGAAGCACCTCATGCCTTCAAACCGACGACAACAGAAGTTCCTTAGTGTGCTCCTCTGGCTTGAGGTTGGCCATGCACAGGGTTGTTTAACTCCCTCCAGCTTAAAATGACTTTTAAGCCATTTGTGTGGTATGATTTCTTGAGAGATCTTGTGAATAAAGCAGTCCTTCAGAAAACAGGTATCAGAATATTGGGCTGTGTGAAATATGCACCCAGTTCTGTTACATTTGCAAGTTATTTACTCTCAATACCATAATGAGGCAGTCAGGAGAGATATCACGTGCTGTCTCTAGCACAGATGCTCAGTCTACCTGAAAGGCCAGTTGTACTGCACCGAGAGAAAGCCAGTATGTTTTTTTCCTTACTTTGATTGAGTTTGAGAGGTTTTGTATTAAAATGTGCAGTATAATGCAGTTATGAGTTTAATGCTCTTTGCTGAGTATTCCTCCACACAGAGTACTGGTACAGGGAAAATATTACAGTTTGGGAAATGTCAGAAAAKACACTTCATTTGTTACAGAACATACCTTAGGTACCCACAAGTATATATGATTTCTGCAGACCTGATAGACTTTCCCTTATAATTGAAGTTGGAATGGTGATTTTATTTTTGATGTACTTTTGGCTTTTCTTTCAGTTGCAAAGCAAAATCTTGCAAATTCATTTTTATGGTTTAAAATATCATTTGATGCTGGAAGTTAGAAATTTCAGGTGTTACCTTTTGAAACAGCAAAGCTTCTACTAAAAGGTTCCTTTGTGTCTCTTTCCTTCCTTGCAGTGTCTTTATTATCTGTCCAAATCAGTTGCATTACACCCAAACTCATGAGCTTACTCTGAAACCTCTTCTCCCTGCTTCTGTGMAAGCAGATACTCATAGTCCTAGGTGCTAGGCTTTGTCCTATTTAATTTGGTATGATTTCTTTGTGCTTACTGACCTTTATGAAAATAGCTTTGCTCATAGGACCTATGCTCTATAGCTCAGTTATATAGCATTATTTTTTTCCTAGATACGTTTTTTTGTGTCCCTTTGCTGGGAAAAAARCATTATTCACTTTAGGGGAGGTCCCAAGAAGATGGTAAAATCTAGAATCCAGATAGTATTCTGCTCATTGAAGTGATTTACAAAAATAATAAGAATAAAGAGTGGGTTTAAGAGCTTAGAGTGTAACTGCTGCCCTGTTTGCTAGCTGTGGTGTCGGCCCTGAAAACCCTCCAAGAGAAGATCCGCCGCCTGGAGCTGGAGCGGTCGCAGGCTGAAGAGAACCTGTGCAGCCTCTCCGCAGAGGCAGCTCGGTATAAGAAGGCCCTCGAGCAGGAATGCTACAAAAAGGACATCTCACATCAAGACCTGATGCAACAGAGGAAAGGTATTTCTCTGAGTCATAAGGAGGAGTCGCAACAACTCAAAGGCTGTGTAATCCAGGGAATGCTTATTTTGGCAAGTTGCTAATTAACACCATTTCCTATCCCTCTTTCTTTTTGCTTCAGAATTAGGCAGGTAGTGTAGTCCTGCCTGATAACTGTAAATCCAGTTTTTATGTATATTAATCAAGTAGTGTTTGCACCACAATGCTCTTTTAAAGAAGGAGCAAATTTCAGGTGGTGTATTTAACTCTTAAAATAAGCAAACAGCTCTTTACCTGTATAGCACTGCTAACTTGAGAAGAAGTGAGGGGAGAGRAAGAAACCAAATCCGAGTTAGATATCTACTGGTATAGGTGAAAGTAATTTCAGTGCTTCCACCTTTGGAAATCATATTAGTGCCTAGCTCCAAAGAAGCATCCGGGGTTTTATGTCTTATACATTTTTAGCTGTGTGTCTTGTTGAGTCCAACAAACCTTGCCTTCATATTTTGGGGACTAGAGAGCTCTTCAAATGAGTTGATAGACTGGCTACATGTTACTGCTGTTAAAACTGTTATTGCTGTACTGAATGCCTCTGAGTCTCTCTGTAGATATAAGTGTGCAGTTAAATGCAGCACAATCCCGCTGCTCCCTGCTGGAGAAACAGCTGGATTACATGAAGCAAATGGTTTCCAGTGCAGAGATGGAGAGAAAAATGGTTTTAGAACAGCAGGTAAGGCTTTTTAACATAACTAACAAAGGAGTAATGCAGTGCAAAAGTACAGAAATGTGTAAGATTGAAACTGTTTGTCCCTCATTCTTCCTCAGCTCTGCTCAAGTGGACAGCAAATTAGCAATTTACTGTCTGACTTGCTGATGCCAACCACTCAATGAATTGTACAAAAAGACTTCCCAGGTGGAATTCCTGATGAGCAAAATCATGTCAATACCTGCATATTTGGTAGACAGAGACTGCTAGAGACTTGAGTTGTCTCTGTCTGCCTGGTATTTTTCATCACTTTGTAATTTTAAAAAATATGAAACTTAAACTAGGTAAAAGTATTTACAGTGGAGCATTCACTGTTTTGCTGTCTGAAACAATTTCACTCAGCTACCAACTCAACTTTGGCTTACTTTTCTCAGACTCAGCTTCAGAAGGAGAAAAATCAGAGCCGGGTGGAGTTGCATGCGAAACTTGAAAAGCTTGACGTGCTAGAAAAGCARTGTCTCAAACTTACTGCTACTCAGAGGATTGCAGAAGTAAGCAAGCATGAAGTGACAGTCTCAAAGTCATTCATGTGATATGATTTATATGGCATAATATTAATAGTCCTAAGTTTTGCAGAAGTTTCCTCTGCTAAAGCTGTGATAATAAAACACAGCTTGTTGAATGCCTCCTATCTTGGCTTCATTTCTCTTAAGTCTTTTTGTTTTCATTCTGGGCCTTAAGGAAGGCTCAGAACAGTCCTGTTTTATCCTAGATTACAGCTGCAAGCAATCTCATACTTCTGATTCAGTGTTACAGACTGGAGTGTGACTAAGCATTTTGCCTTCAAATTCAGGACAAGATCAAACACTTAGAAGAAAAGCTTTGTAAAGAGGAACATCAGCGCAAGCTAATACAAGACAAAGCTGCTCAGGTAGATTGAAAAGGCTTTAGTTTAACTTTTTTGTTACTAAAGTAAGTTATTCTCCCTGTTCTCTTTTATTACTTTAAAATTCCACATGATGATTAGCTAGGAAGAACTCCTGCAATGCTAATTGGACTAATCAGGTATAAACTGTATAATAGAAAACTTCTCTGGTGTCTCGCAGGTCTTGCTCAAGGAAGACTCTGGTTGTTGTTAATAGTACAGTTCATCAGCCATAAAGCTGCTATAATTGATCAGAGTAGAAAATGAATTTGTAAAGAAACTGCAACTAAATCAGATAACTTTAGCTTACAGCAATTAGAAAGCAAATCACTTAAGAAACTAACCACCTAAGGTTGGTTGTTTGGTTTGTCTTCATCTTTTGAAGATTTGCTGSAATCTGATATGCTGGATTATTCTTGGAGAAGTCTTGCATCAGTGATACTGTTGCACTGTTTGTTAAATGAGAGTTTGAATAATTCACTGTTTTGTGAGTTCCTAGGCTGTTCTTGTGGGGCTAGYATCCAACGGAGAGAGGAGTATTGCCCAGGGAGCAAAATCAAAGAAAAACAGTGACCTTTTGTGAAAGGYGCAGAGTGACTTCAGGTTTCCTAACCCTCACTTTGTGAGAAGTACCAGCCAATTTGAAAGAGGGCAGTTTGTAGCAACATTCCCAAGGGGGGAATGAAAGCTGAAGAATAATATTATAAGAACCTAGCTGTAAGCACAGCTAACAGCTTAAATTAATTCCGTATTGCAGTCACTTTCTGTAACTCTTCCAAGGCCCATTGGCTTTCATCAGTCTGGGACCCTTGAAATARCAAGCAGATTGTAGCCCAGAGACATGACCAACTTCCAGCAGAATGACACAGCTGAAAAGCTGCAGTTTTGGGGGTTTCTTGAACTATTTCTGTTGCCACCAAGCAGAAAGCCTAGTATGGAGATTTTATCTTTTGAGAAACATAGCAAGAGCAACTTTCCCAGAGCAGATAGTCTGACCTTAGCAGTACTATAAACAAGTGTTCAAGAAAGTGTAGTAAATTGAGCCCTAAATGAGTGTTGCTCCTATCAAAGTTCACTGCAGGGTTGATTTTGATTTGTTGGATCTCCAGGGGGAAACAGCAGGTGGACTGTGGCTGCTTCAACAWCTTTTTGACAGTAAAGCCAGAATAGTCTCTCATTAGCGGTAAACTTCTAGTGCTGTTCATCCAACTCTGCAATAAATCCTAAAACACAGTCCTTGTCATATTTCTAACGGGAATGAGTGTTTTCCGTACTTATCACTGGTCTTTATATCAATTTCAAACTGCAGAGCAGTCCCTGGAGTGTCCAGCAGTGTTACATGGATGGGCTCAGTTCYGTCCACCCTAAAATTGTAAGATCCAAAGACATGGCCAATACCATGCTCTCTTAGTAATCTATTCTTTCTTGTTGTTATTGTAGTTTATGCTTCCCAAACAGAACAGTTAATAGTGCCCTTAATTGATTCTCATCCATGCACGAAGGAGGGCGTTAATCAGACCGTGTGATTTCAGACTTCTGGTATTACATTAAATGACTCTCTTTTTTTCTGCCTTTTCCCACAGCTTCAAACTGGGTTTGAGATAAATAGAATTTTGTTGTCTTCGGTTTCATCTCAAAATGAACCCCAAAACAAAATTAGAAAGAAGAAGAACACTAAGAAGGTAACAGGACRGTTGCCATTAGCGTACTGTTGCTGATGGGATCTGACTTGCACGGAGAGAGGAATTTGCAGAAAGTGGTACCACAAGAGGCACTGGGTTTGTTTGCAATGCTGTATTCCCTTTCCAAAGGAAGAGCAGCACTGAATACCTCTTTCTTCTAACCCCCCAATCCTGCCTTGTAATTAAAGCTGGAATAAGGCTATTAGCACCCTCACCAGCATGACAGGAACCTCTGTTACAGTCTTAGTGCCTGCCTCCTTGGCCTATCTTAGCTGCTTTTCAGCTTATCTGGAAAAAAATCAGTTCCAAAACCAAATTGAACTAAGCAGTTTTAAAATGGTGTTTTGTGGAGGAGAATGTCGAAATCCAGAGAATTCATTTAGCAACACACATTATATGTTGGTCAAAATTTTGCAACTCTGTTTTTGCAAACTTAAGTAAGCAATGCCCAGTTTCTAATGTTAATCTATTTGTCAAACTATCTGCTAAGTGCATCTGGAATAAAATTTACTTAGCTGTTATTGTTGGAAAATCCTACATTTTCCGCATATGAGATGGATCTTTTTAAGAGAGAAACTAAGATGATGCATTTCACTGCTTGTTTATTTGAATCTTACTGTTGTGTTTTGGTAAGTTCAGGATTTTACTGTTGGGCCAGCACATTGGTATTTCTTGTCTTTTCCTTTTTATCTTATGGAAGAAAAATCCTGCTGTGAAGAAAATGTGCCTTCCACAATTTCACGTTAGGGCTGGTGTGCTACCTTTTGTGGCTGGGAAGGTGAGTATAAACATTCTTACTAAATTGACATCTCCAGCTTTAATAAATCTCTTCATTGTAGTTTTTTTTTAATCACTTAATAATTCTTCTTTAAGTCTGCCAGCTCCAGCCACTCTGTCAGTGCAAACGTACAAAGTGTGCTGCATATTATGAAGCATCGCAACCCTCGTTGCTCATCACGAGGCCAGGAGGGAGCTGCAAGTGGAAGTTCAAGACAAACTGTTGCTTCAAAGTCTGTATCTTCTTGTTCCACGTCGTCTGCTGTCACCAGGAATCTTTCTGACATTCTGTTGGCCATAGAAGATGAGCTGGGCCAAATGAGCTTGTGAGTAAGCTCTGGTATTAGAAGTGACTTCAGTGGTAGCACTGGGAAGTGTCAGGCAGGCTGTACTTGAACCTAGCTGGTTGGAGGTGTCAGGCTGTTACTGGGGAGAACAGTCTGAATGGGTCTGATTAATAGGATTTTCCTCATTTGGAAATTGGTTTCGTTCTGGTGATTAACTGATTTTGTGAGCAAGCAACATTGAACAGGGTTTCTTCTCCTTTCACATCCTGTGCTTAACTGGTTTCTGCTAAGGGAACAGCTGCAGCAAATAAAATTCCTTTTCAGGTCTGAGCTTTTTTTTTTTTTTTTTTTTTTTTGAATTTTTAAGCATACTGTAAGTTCTACCAAGTCCACCAAGACTGTTCTGCTGGGGAAGGCTGCAGAGGTTGTCCTAGCACTGAGCAGGCCTGCAGCAGGCTGTCGATTTGGGAGCCCACGGAGGTTACTGCAGCACTGGTAGGAATAGTCCTGTCACAAAGTCTAACCTATGTTACATTGACCTCACTCATCCTATGCTCCCTCCACACTATCATATCTGATGAGTCCTTGTGCTGGGACACTCTGGGATTTGTTCTCTATCGACAGCAGGAGAACTTGCCAGTGCTGTAATGGGGCTGTAAAATAGGGACACATCATTCCTGCCTCCTGACAAGGAAATGGGCAGAGCCTGGAGAGGCTAAAACATGAGACAGGATTAAATGTATCTTTCAGGCCTTACAAGTCAGGATGGATTTCAAGCAGCCATGTTCTTAGTTGAACAGGGGATGTGTTTGTTAAAGCACTTAGGATGTTGGCACTGCTTTAAAACCTTTAGTGTCCCATTGGTGCTCATTAATCCCTGGTACTCTGTGCTTCCCACGTATAATCCAAAGTACGTATTGAACTTCTATAAGCATTTCAAGATTTCCATCTTAATAATGAAAGAAAAGTTCTAGGCTCTTATCCTGGGAGCTGTGGATTAATTTATATAGGCAGCCAAATTCTTCTTTGAAAAGCACTCGTGCTTTTACTAATGAAATGGCAACCCAAGGGCAATTTTATTAATTCATTTATTTAATAAATAGCCAGTCACTTCAATTAAATTTGCGAGGAGCAACAGTTTACTCAGAAGTCAGAGAAGAAGCTATGACCTCTGGATAGAGATTATTTATATAGGGCCTTTTTGAGAGGTGTTTCYTCTATTTTGACTACTACAAAGATGCAGATATCAAAACATTTAGACTGTTCCTTTTGATTAGCCCCGCAAAGAGGCACACCTTGCAGCTGATCTTTGAGCAGAATGTTTTAATTGGAATGATCTCTCAGAAGAACTAGAATTTTGCATGTAGTAGGCCTTAAAGAAGGCCTTTTTTGTTGTATATTAAGTCTCCAAAGTCTGCACGAAACTGGGCAGGAGGTGAAAATACTGCATTGCGTAGCTGCTGTTGGCTTCTGTTCACTTTCCAAATTCTCATTTTGCACAGAATTACACATGTACTTGTTATGGTTGTGGCTAGTGGGAAGGTTATAAGATGCACATGAGCTAAAAATTTGGAATAAGAAAATCAGACGCAATGGAAAAAACTTCCTTTCTAGTGTGAATATATTCCATATGAATGTGTATTGTGTGAGAGGGTAAATAATACTAAATTGTTATATTCCAGAGGAGATGACTAGCAACACATGCAGTACAATCAAAAGTATTGGAGTAAATCTTTYGGGCTATATAATGAGCACTATTTTTTTTTTGTCTTTAACAGGGAACATCTAGAACTCTCAAAGCAGATACAGGAAACTCACAACTCTGAAGTTCGTGAAGACCTAGAACAGCAGCTGGATTGCCTTGTGAAAAAAATGGAGATCAAAGGCGAGCAAATATCCAAACTGAAAAAGCATCAGGCTAGTGTAAGAAAAAATGTAAGCTGTCTAGCTAGTAACACACTGGCTGAATGATTGCTACAACTCTGCYTCCTGTTGTCATTAGTTAAAATGTCATTGGAATGCTTAAGTCAGGGTGTTCAAATATAGGTGACTTCAGATTAGGTTGCTGAATGGTTTTGTATGTCCAGTTCTTCCTTTGATTAAGAAAACGTGCCTACAGTTGACAGCCACATGTGTATGCTAGTAGGAAAACTTCTGGTCTTGGGGCACATCTGCAGTACAGGAATGAACAAAACTGAAGCTCTTTTTCCTATACTGCCTGGTTTATGTGTCTTTTTACATTACTGAGATGCTGAGCCCTTTTATTAACCAAATATTTGGCTGAATGCAGCTTCTCTGAAGTCATAGTTGGGCAAGTCTTTGTCTCCTTAGCTCCTAGACATATGTACCATGACAGTGACAGTGTAGCATGCATGTATGCCCATATAAAATCTGTAGGTGAGCTGCTTAAACCCCTTGGAGCAGCTTGGCTTGGAACATGTGATAGGAAATACAACCCACAGTGCCATCTGATAGTTTTCTGTTCCTCCATCTGATGTTTCAGGATAAATAGGTACATCTAAGAACTTGGCTTGTATGGGAAACAAAACAAAACTRTGTGAGACCTTATGGAAGGAAAAGATAAATTAAATATTATCTTTATTTATAAGTAAGTACTTTAATTATGACTATTTCACTTGCATTTGTTCTTTGATATATTTTATTAATCTGACATTTTCTGTGCACATGTTTGTAAGCACCAAGATGGTTATGTCAAAACAGTCTTGTCAGGGTCACATGTTAGTGACATGGGCATAGACCATTGACTATTGAGTCCTCGCTCTCTGACTTGGATTCCTCTTGCTTGGCAATGACAACTGTTTTTTGGGGTTTTTTTTTTGGGTAAATCTCACAAACTCTTGAAGAGTCAACAGTTATTACAGCATGGTTCTCTGAATCTCAGAATCCACTGGCTTCTCCCGCCATGAATCCTGAGACAACAGGCAGCTCAAGCACCTTTGTTTCTCCACTTTATGTGTCCTCAGTTTGCCTTCCTCTTGCTTTTGGGGATGACAGGAGCACGAACGGCACGTCGTCTGTGTTGTGGTGTGGCCTTATCGGAGCCCATGCCTTCTGGCCCCGATGTGAACAGCACATCCTGCTGCTTATCTGTTTGGCTGCTGCCCATGATGGCCTGGTTATCAATACAGAGCACTCCTCTGGCTCTATATTGTTTCTTCGGGTGCTTCCACGCACAGACCCTTCCAGTTGTGTTCTGCACAAGGCAGTCGTTCTACTTCTGATACACATTTTTGTATTTGAAACCTTTCACATTGGAAATGCTGTAGCTATCTCGGTATCTCACAGTTAATGATATGGTCCTGAATGCAATTAAAGCTACTCATTTTTAGAAATGAATTTGAAGCCTAAATTGTCATGTGGGACACTTCCAACATAATTCTATCTTTAGCAGTGACCTTTTCATGCCGAATATGAGTCAAGGCATTCTCTTGACTTTTTTTTTAAAAAAAACACATTCTGTGGTAATTCAAGCATATTTATTCTGTTTATATATCTTGCCAGAGGCCTTCCAAGTAAACTACTTAGGGTGACTGATAATATATTGTGTTCATCCTGTAGCTTTCCTTTTTGGTTAGAGTAAATTTCCATTGGAAATGGAAAAAGATAGTGATAAACAGAAAGGGTGACAGCAGATGGTATTCAGGTTCTCAYTTATAAACCTTGAAGAGTGTGTGTGAATGTGTGTTTTGGAGGCTCAGCCACCTGTTGAATGTGGGCAAGGTCAATTTTCTGTTTCAACAAGATAATTGTACACTTGCTAGAAAGTAGGTTTTAGCATTTTTGAAGGTGTGTTATGAATTTGGTTGAAATCTGGTAAACTATACAGCAATCTGTCTCTAAATATGCAACGTTATAATGGCAATCTTTCTTTCTAGCTCCAGAAAATAAAGCAGAAAACGCAAAAATTGAAGCAAGAGGCAGCACACGTCAAACTAAAATGTGGTGACCAAAAGGAAACAAAGGAAAGTCAAGTTGCTAAAGGGGAAAGTAAGCCTAAGGCTTGTCCTGGACAGAAAAGCAAAAGCTCTCTCCGGCTCTTAAAAAATGTGCAGAAACTTCAGTCTACACTGAAAAGAGATGATATCAKGTGGGAGCAATAATTGTAAAACCTTCCACGTTAAAAGCCTTTGAAGTTGCCTAGAAGCTAGTCAGTTTTGAATTTCATTAAGTGGCTTTTAAAAATAAAATAGATATAGCATTTTGCATTTGAAGCTGCCTYGATGCTAGTAGGTCTGTTTGTTCACCTCAGAATCAACTCTCATGTAGCCTGACTCTAGTTCCACTACACTGACTTATAATAAAGCATTTTTAATGTATTTATGAAGTGCATACTTATTACTGTGTCAAATAAAGCTTGGTACCTATTTTACACTTAAAATGTTATTTTAACAATCTGTGAATTTACCTCTGTACCCCCAAGACTTTTCCAGTGCAACCTCAACCAGTGCTCCCATTCCAATAAAAGGGATGGGATTTTTTTTTTCTCTAACTGAAGAGCTGGGTCATTGCAACTGAGACTGAAAAGGGTGTATGGTCTGCTATTTTTATTGTTATTATTACTACTCTGTAAGCTTTACTGACAGTGTTAATAGCCTGAAGACTTGTGGTACTGAGTGTGACGTGAGAGGAAACAAGAGGGTTAAGGAGCAGAGGTGAATAAGCAAATGGGAAGGATGAAGGCTTATGAGGTTTTGGGGCTTGTTTGGAGTCTTTTTTTCTTTCCAGGGCAATGGTTATAGCTCTGTAGCATTTCTGTCCATCAGCCCCCAGGATGGCTCAAGGGAGAAAGAAAAAAGGGCATTTTCAGAAATGTGCTTGCTGTATTGCAAGTGCTTTCAGCATACGGCTGCACTAGCTGTATTATTACAGCTAGTAATACAACATTTAACTGAATGGCTCCATAAAACCTCCCGTAACTTCCTAAAGGCTCCATTCTACCTTGGAGGAGGCAAGATTACAGCTCAGCCATGAAAACACCCTTGTACTCATGATGATTTTCCTGAGTGATCACATGTGGTAGAGAAGAATAGCTTTCATAGGATGGATTAGTGAAATTCTGCTGTTGATCTCTGGTACTAAAAGCAAATAGTGTTTTTTTTTTTTCAAGTCCTTATGTAGATGAGACAATAAAAATTGGAGACATGCTCTGTTGTCAAGGGTTTCAAGAGAAGCTAATAATAGCACTGAGTTTTAATGGAAAGTTGCTTCTTTGGATAGCTTTTGCTCTGGCACGCATTAGGAGAAAGACTGCATTTTTTTAGACAATAATTAAAATTTAGAATAAACTGTTTTAATCTTTAACAGAAGTTCTGTGCAGGGGCTTTTTTTCTTGTGGGCATGTGGGGATGGTTGGTTGTTTGCTTGTTTYTTACAGGCCCTGAGCATTCTTTACAGAGCAATGGAAGACCAAGTTGCTTAACTGGTATTTGGAGACAGATTTATCTCATTCTGTTTAAATTGTCTAGGAACCTTTCTTAGTTATGGATTACCTCTAGCCTAGGAAAACTTGCACGCTTAAAAGCACTTAAACGTACCTCTGAACATTTGTGTAAAGGTGTCCCTAACGTTGCTTTTATTTGGAAGGTGTCTAATTGGTGTTTGAAACAGCATTTCATTTATTGGCATAGATAGAGTTTCTGAAGTAGATCTATGCATTTCTAGACATGGCTGTCACTGATCAGGGAGACAAAATAAAGTGTTTTTTCCAAAAATATTTGCACTTTTTATGCATTGTGTTGCTACAAGATAAGTTTAGCCTTTCCTAGAGGTAGCTAAATAATCTCTAAAACTTTTTATGTGTCTGGGCATGAAAGGGCTGCATCATGATGATCTTAAAGCTCTTTCCCAACCATAATGATTCTGTGATTCTATATCCCGGGGAGCCTGAAGGCATTATATCCGATCTGGAGACCCATCCTTAGACAGGGTCATCAGAGATCGACTGACACAGAAAAGATTGCCAGGATTTTGCCCTAAATGCCTAAAAACCATACGAACAACTCTGCTCAGTGGCTGCCAAGGAGGGATGGTGCCTTTGGGGCAGGGAGCCAGGTACAATATGGGATGGTGCTTGCAAGGCAGAAACACTGAGTCATCGATCTTCTAAATGTGGGTAGGTAATTTGGATCTTTGGCTGACTTGAAGTGAGGAAGGTGAGCTAAAAAATCTGTGTAACCCAGAGCCTCGAGCTATGATTTGAGAGAGGAATGATATGAATAGGTAGAAAGTATATGGAGTCTTCTATATCTCTTTTATTTCAAATTGAAAAAATTTGTTGCATTTTAATAACTTGCTTCCTGCTCCTCTTCTGGAACTGTTTCCCTAGTGTATTTGTTTCACACAGTAAAGTTATGTGGATGCACTTCAGTGTGGGCTGAGAGTCAAACTGAATATRAAGTGATTGCATTCCTGAAAAAAAGAAAAAGAATTTTCTTTAGCTTGCAAAATCACATAACAGATTGTATCTCAGTATCAGGGCGAYGTGGAAGACCAGCTTATGTGTTTGTTTATGAGCACACTCACAGTCTGAGGCAGTTGTCAACCTCGTAAGATTAAATCTTCCTAAAAATGAGCAGCAAGGAGCAGCTGGGCAGTAATTTCAGTGGTGAAGTTCACCTTGTGCATCAACTATTTGCAAGATTCAGGTCCTGGGAGAAGGAGGCATTCCGATCCTAGTGAGTTTTGCTGGGATCTGAGTGCTTCACTTTTTATGCTCTGAAAACGTTCAGGCCTTGAACTCTGTAAATGTATTTGGAGAAAGCGTAGTGGTTARAGCAGTTGTATTTACAAGAACAATATGCTTTGGCAAAGTAAGTGCTTGCTCTGCTCTTCCCCAGCTCCTTGTTTTGATTTGTATCTCCCATGTTTTTGTTTGTTTGCTCAGATGAAACTGTACTTGTTTTATAAATGTTTTGAATATGACTATGAAGGGCAGCAGACAAAAACAAGCGCTGATACCAGAAAAGGACTAATTGGTTTATTTACTCCAAATCCTAGTTCTTTTATGCTGAGTTATGTGAAATTGCCACAGCAAGAATTACCATTGACAACAGGTTCTGTTAGTATTTTAATCTGAGGTCGTATTTCATGGCTGGACAGTGAGGAAATAGCACAAAAGATGTAGGTCAAACAGCATAATTAAAAACACAGAACAGCAAATTCTGTCCAACAATAGTTCACTTTCCTGCTGCTAATGAAATGTGCTAGCACAAATTAATGGCTTGTTACTTAAGCCCACTGGAAGGACTTTGTCCCAGCACAAAAGGCACTGAGTCTGCAAATGCGTGTTACGATCTTCTCCCCAGGTCGGATCCAGGTCGGATGTAGCTATAAATCCAGCGTATCCTGGGAATAGAAGCTGGCAAAAACACTCCTTGAAAAATATCAGGGCAGGATCTCCCTGGGATTTGGATCCTGACTAATGTAACTAACTGCAGATGTTTGTGTGGACTGAAAGATCTATTGACAGACATTCCTGGCATAGGAATACCATAAAAACTCATGATCATTTTTATAGCAGAAAAACAAGGAAGTGGGAATAATAAAACATATGCTGTTATTTCCGACGAGGCATTTTCTAATTTCTTCAGCCAGCCTGTCTAGAAACGGGCAAGGTTGCCCCTACCGTGTCCTCTCCTTGGACATATTCAAAGCTTCTCCAAGTCACTTGGGTTGGGATCCTAATGCCTACCTGAAGGGATCCCAATCCCTACCTGAAGCTCTCCATAGATTCCCTTTATGGGACTTATAGGCACTGCTTTAGCCAGCAGAGAGAAGTAAGCATTTCTGAAAGTKGAGTGCTCTAAAGTAACAGCTAAAATAAATCAGCCAGATTTTACCCCAATTGTCTGGTTCTCTTTAGTGAGTATAAAGGAGTCCAGGGTGACCAGCTTATATGAAGATGTTTCCCTTGTTCATGGAACTTGATCCGATAACCTATGAGCAAACACGGAACTCCACATTTCTAAGAATTCTGGATTAGCTCCTTAGCATTTCTGATGATCTCAGTGCTGTGTAAGTATCAGCCCACTGATGGTTTTGAAAGCCAATGTATTACACTGCGTATAGTTATTTTTCCTCCTGTTTGCCACATCAGCCTTTCGTGCCTTGGCCTAAAAGCAGGTCCCTTTCCCAAGAACACTGGTACCATTACTTTCCCATTGAAACTAGGAAATCAGGATCTCAGTCATCTGTGGCTCAGTAAGAGGCAGAAGACAACAAGGAATCTAAGGTACAGAGCCCTTTCCTTTACCAGTATGTGCTACCCACTCTCCATCTGCCCCATGAGCAAAGGCTGAGGGAGCTGGGCCTGTTCAGCCTGGAGAAGAGGAGGCTGAGGGGGGACCTGATCAGYGTSTATAAATACCTCAAGGGAGGCAGTGAGGAGGAGSGGGCGGCCTCTTTTCAGKGGTGGCCAGCGACAGGACTAGAGGAAACGGCCACAAGCTGAGGCACCAAAAGTTCCACAGGAACTTGAGAAAACACTTCTCGGCAGTGAGGGTGMCAGAGCCCTGGCACAGGCTGCCCAGGGAGGTTGTGGAGTCTCCTTCTTTGGAGATCTTTAAAACCCGCTTGGATGCMGCCCTGTGCCCCGTGCTCTGGGTGACCCTGCGTGAGCAGRGGGGTTGGACTAGATGACCTCTGAGRTCCCTTCCAACCTTRRGCATTCTGTGATTCTATGATTCTATGATTTTTTTGCAAACCTGTTGAGTGCTGTCTTGAAACGAGGTCGGGTCTCCGTCCCCAGTTCTCATACTGTAAAACCGTTGCAGGATTTAATTTGCTGGTGCTTAAGAAGATGACTTCTTTCTGCAATCTGAACTTATTTATAGGTAGTTCAACTGTTTTGCCAAAATTCATCTTTTACTTAATTTTCTGATGTTCTTTTCTCTGGTGGGTCATGGTTTCTATAGGATCAGTTAATATAGCCAGGTCTTTTTTCTAGCCTGTTAAGTCATATCCATAYAGAAGGAATTCTTGCTAGGCCCCTTAATACATAAGTACAATAGATACTAAGTTAGTCTGGACTAATTAATTTTTGGTAAATATTTTATATTTYATCTGTTGTTATCCATGACGTTTCTTTTCCTTCAGAATTGACACTAAAACCTTGCATGCAATTGGTATTTTGAAATGGTCCTGTAATTCTTAATATTTCCTCACTTTTTTTAAAAGTTCACCTAGAACATTTTTGCTAGCACACCTCATTTTTCTGGATCGGGACTTTGAAATTTAAGTTTATTCCATCCTGCCAATTACAGTATAATAARCTACGCAAATTTTGTTTCATGCCAAGAAATGGTAATTTATATTCCCACTATTACATTCCCCTCAGCTGTATCCTAATCTTAACTCCATCCTTTATATCATAGCCCTTTCTGAAAAGAAAAATGATCCATTTTTTTCTTGATACATATCTGATTTTTGTTGGTTTTTTTGTTGTTTCTTTTTTCTTCTTTTTTTTTTTTCCTCAAGCTCCA